TGGCACTAACTCATCGCTGACCCTCCTCTGGGTTTTTGGGTGTAAGTCACATGGAAAGGGACTGTCCATCTTTCTCTTGCGGATTTGAGTTGACAGAGAGATACCTCCACTTTTCAGTTGGCAACACCACTCCCTCTGGAATACACTACCAGAGGTCTTTTTTTTTTTAAAAAAAAAGTATTAAGTATTAAGATGGAAGGAATATACGGAGTCATTGTATCAAAAGGAATTGGTAGATACAGAAGAATTTAATGAAATAGCATTTGAGCCAGAGCCTATGGTGATGAAGGCAGTTCAAGCTGCTTTGAAGGAAATAGCAAAAAGTAAGGCCCCCGGAATAGATGGTATACCAATTGACACATTTCAGCTAACAGATGCTGCCGTGGATGTGCTCACCAAGTTGTGCCAAGAAATCTGGAGAACAACCACTTGGCCAACTGACTGGAAGAGGTCTATATTTGTTACCATCCCAAAGGAGGGAGACTCAACTGAGTGTGGAAACGACAGAACATTATCATTGATTTCACATGCAAGCAAGATTCTACTGAAGATTATCCAAAAACGACTGGAACAGTACATCAGCAGAGAACTGCCAGAAGTCCAGGCTGGGTTTAGAAGGGGACGTGGTACTAGGGATATTGTAGCTGATGTTAGATGGATCTTAGCTGAAAGCAGAGAATACCAGAAGAATGTCTATCTGTGTTTCATTGATCATGCAAAGGTGTTTGACTGTGTGGATCATAACAAATTGTGGCTGACTCTGAGAAGAATGGGAATCCCAGAACATTTAATCGTTCTAATGCGAAACCTATACTTGGACCAAGAGGCAGTCGTCAGAACAGAGCAGGGCAACACTGCATGGTTCAAAATTGGGAAGGGTGTACGCCAGGGATGTGTCCTATCTCCATACCTTTTCAACCTGTATGCAGAGCAGATTATCCGAGAGGCTGGGCTCTATGAGGAGAAGCGTGGCGTTAGGATTGGTGGATGATCTATCAACAGTCTGCGTTATGCAGATGACACAACCCTGCTCGCTGAAACTGAGGAGGACCTCATGCACTTACTGCAGAGGGTCAAGGACTGCAGCCTTCAATATGGACTGAGGCTCAATGTCAAGAAGACAAAAAATTCTCACCACTGGGCCAATCGGTAGCATCAGGATGGATGGCAAAGAGATTGAGATTGTTCCCAGCTTCAGTTTGCTCGGCTCCGTGGTCAACGCTCTTGGCACCAGTAGCCAGGAAATAAAAAAATGTATTGCGATGGGAAAGTCTGTGGTTAGGAACCTCTCTAAAGTACTCGAGAGCAGCGGTGTCTCTCTGGAGACTAAGGTGTGCCTGATACAGGCCATGGTCTTTGCAATCACTTGTTATGCATCAGAGAGTTGGACAATGACTAGGGAGGATAGAAGCAGAATTGACGCCTTTGAGCTGTGGTGCTGGAGAAGAGTATTGAATGTACCATGGACTGCCAAGAAAACAAACAGATTCAACCTATAGAGGGTTAAACCAGGCTGCTCCTTGGAGGCAAGGATTCTGGGGCTTCGTCTAACATACTTTGGACATGTTGTGACTGGGGTACTCGCGATGGGTGTGTCAGAGGCAATGAGATTGGCACAGGATAGAGCACGGTTTAGGGCTGTTGTACATAGGGTCGCTATGAGTCGCAAACGACTTGACGGCACATAACAACAACAACAACAATCTAGTAAATTGTGTATCCTCATGGAAAAAGTGAGGTCAATTTCAGATGGATCATATATCTCAATGGAAGGTGCCAACACATCAGTTACTTATATAGGTTTCACATAGTTAGCTCTGCAATCAACCATACAAGATCAAACAGGTAGAATTTGTCCAGGGATAAAGTTCAGAAGACAGGAAGTATTAATGGAAATGAGAATCGCAGAGAAGAAGTGGGAAGAATAAGTTTACAACTGGGTACGGCAATTAATGTCATAAAGCAAAATGTATATGAACAGTTGCATGGAAAACCCAACTTTCTCTGTCAACTTTCATTCAAATCACATTAACAAAGGAAAGGTTGGCTCTAATCTTAATCAAAATCAACTCCACTGTTTGATTGAAATATGTTTATTTAAATTTTTCCTTTAAGCACTTAATACAGTTTTTTTATTCAATAGCCAAACACGGCAACATCTGGTCAGTTTAGAAAGGCATCTCATCAGACATGAAATACACAACTGCATTATAAGACCCCTGCCACATGAGATCGGCTGCAGACCCCTTAATGGCAGGAACCACGTCTTAATAGTGTTTAGTAGCACCTTGACTTGTACAGAAACCCTGAAAAGATGCTTCTTGAGTTTCTCTTCATTGGTTAGAAACAAGGCATTAAACTCCTTTACCCATCTCCCCTTACTACTCTACTTTCCCTTCCTCCTCCACTTCCAATCCTTCATTTGGTCAAAGACTAAATACTAGAAATAGATAAGGAAGATTGTATCTTAAGAAGAAGAGTTTGTTTTTAGGGATGGGACCTCCAAGTAATCCCCCCCTTTAAATGTGTTTAGGTTAGTATGTCTGTTTGGGGTCTGAGCTCTTAAAGAACTGTCTTTGCCATGGTTAGATGCCACTTTTAATTTTGCTCTTTGGTCCTAAGTGAGAGTGAGTGAAGCAGGCAGGAATCCTTAAAGGTCTGATGCATTTAGAATTAGTTCCTTTGGTCCCAGTAATGGAAGCCCAAAGGAGGTTCCCAAATTGACTCTGTTACCACTTTTAGCTTAGAAGCTAGACTCCTAACCTCCACTCAGACACATGGGAAAGTCTACCCCACAAACGAATCCACACTTCTGTGCCAGATGGCCAGGGTCTGAAATAGCAAAACAGACTTTGGAATCAGAAAGGTTTGCTTCTAAACCCAGGCTTTGTAGCTTACTAGCTGTAAGATTTTGGGCAAGTAAGTATCTTCTCTACTTGAAAATTAGTTTCTTATTTAAAAAATGGAGGTCCAGGAGGGGTTCTCAACATTACTGGCAAAATTAAATCCTTTAAGAAAACATATGCAAAAGCATCTTGCAAAGTGCCTGAGATTTGATGGATTTTCAAGCGTGGTAGGAAGAAGAGGTGGCTGGGAAAGAAGATTTTGTCAGCATTTCTTTAGAACACTCAAGGATTTTAAACTGTAACCTTGAGAAAGTCTTCTTTCCTCTGAGCCTCAACTTCTGTACAATAGGATTTCTGACCCAGTAAGAGTGACACCTCAGAATTTGAGGTAAAGAATTTGAGTGTATCATTTTCTATAACAGAATAAAGCTTTTATTACCTTGTTTCCAAGATGTCATCAATTATAAGAGGCAGAGTTGATTTAAAAACAGTATTAGGGAGTGGACTCATCAACTGTAAGACACATTCTGACTTCAGGATAATGCTGGCTCCCATTTATTATGCATCTACAAGTTCCAAGCAAAGGAGGCCTGATGACCAAGGGTAAAGTATTTGTTGCTAACTGAAAGGTTAAGTGGTTCAAATCCACCAGCTTCTTCATGAGAGAAAAAACCTGGAATCTGCTCCTGCGATGATTGTTCTTTTTGCGCTGTTGATTGATCTGGAATCTTTAAAACACTATGGGCCAGAGTGGACCAACTCCACAGAGCTCCTACAACTGGAATCTTTATGGAGACAGACTGCCACATTTTTTTCCTTGTGTAGTGGTTGATGGATTTGAACCACTGACTTTTAGTGGGTTAGCAGCAGAACATTTGACTACTGTACTAACAGGACTCTTCTTATAAAGATTATAGTCTCAGAAACACTAGCGTCAGTTTTACTCTGTTCTGTAATGTTGCTATGAGGCGGAATTGACTTGACAGCACACAATACAGGTACCAAGCATGAGGTGAGATGCTTTACTGAGTCTTTTTTATAACAACCCATTGAAGCAGGTTATTCTCCTTCTCACATATAGATTAGCAAACTGAAGGTGGAAAGGTGAATCCACTTTTCCAAGTACACACAGATAATAGGGAAAGGGACTCGACAGATCTCTCTGTTTTCAACATGCTTTTCCTTCACAGTGGATTTCTCTGAGAGCTAAGAAGTCAACTCAATACAGAGATCTAGTTTGTGAATACTGTCCTTTCAATATTCCTTGAATTTCTGCAAGGTGACCTGGAAGGAAATACACAGGCAGCAAAGAGAGTTGTAATCTAATCAGTCTCCAAATACTGGTCAACAGAGAGAAGGTATTGACAGGAGAGTGAGTGGCTTAGAATCCAAATAAGTGGAACCAAGAAATGAGCTGAGGCAAGAGAATCGGCTCTGGGGTAGGACAGAGGAGGGGAGCCTTGACCAGCCATCAAGAACGTTCCACTCCCAGGGACAACAAGCTCCGCCTAAAGGTCCTACTTCTTCAAGGCCCTAATTTCTGACTCTCTACTAATGTAACCAAAACTTCTGGAGAAGAATTCAGACTTGCCTGAAAGAGGGAAGCATGCTGATTAATTGCTAGCAGCTAGCTAGTGCTCATCCAGTACTCGGGAAAGCTGGTTTGCTGATGAGTTAGTTCTTCTGAGCCTGGTTATGGGTGGACTATTTGGCCATACAAAGCTGTGAATTTGGCACTGACTCTGAGATGACCCCAAAGGTGGACACTATGAGGCTGTTGGAAGCACACCTTGACATCTTCCTTCTGTCCAAAAGACTCCTGGATTTTATGTCTGTCTGTCTAGTTCTAGTGTTTTGGGGAAGAGAGAGCCATCCCCATACCAGTGAATTCCCAACATAGCTTTCTACCTCATCAGATGACAAAAAAAGTCCTGCAGCTTTTTGGTAGAGTGAAAGCAAGAACACGGAAAGGGTTGGGGTGTGGCAAGCCAGGATGGGGCTGGTTACATTAAGCATCAGGGAGAACATAAAAAATGTTTCTGTTGACTTGACTGGAAGAACTCATAATGAAGCTGCCAGAGGAGAAATGTGCTTTTTGGTCTTGATGCTGGAGAAGGCTCTGGGAAAGGTGGCTGAGAGAGTGAGAGGGTGGGGTCACCGGTTCTCCACGTGGACATCAGCCGGGGCGAAGGTCACAGTCGCAGGCTGTGGGCTGCTGTTATTTAGAGCCAGTGCAGATGGGGAAGCTGGCTTGGGGCCCTTAGGCTCCAGCTCCCTCCTGGTCCTCATTTTCCTGTAAAGAGATATACGTAAACCAGCTTGAACTCACCCCTTCTAAGCTGTGGGGAATTGGCTCTGCGAAGATTCCACTGAAGAGGTTAATTATAGATCACTATTGCATTGCATTGCTCACGTGCCAACTACAGAATTTTAAAACCAAGAGATCTTAGCCATCTGCTACAATGATCCTTAAATGTTCTATTTAACCTTAATTTTAAAAAACCTCTAACTCATTGCTGATGAGTTGAAACCAACCTGGAACTAACCATCTAGAGGATTTTCAGGGGCTGGAAATAGCATGGGAGGAGAATGCCCGTCTTTTCCCCTGGAAGCCACTGGTGGATTTGAACAGCTAAAGCGGCTCAGCATTTGGATTAGTAGTGCAACTTCCTGTGGCATATGCGATAAGAGCTCCTTATTTATCTTTACTCCTAAAAACCTCACTGGTATGGAGTGAGAACAGCTCACAGCTGACCCTCCAGGGGGTTTCAGAGGCTATATCACCATCAGGATGGACGGTGTAGAGATTGAGATTGTTCACAGCTTTAGTTTGCTTGGCTCCACAGTCAACACTCTCAGCACCAGTAGCCAGGAAATTAAAAGGCGCATTGCCATGGGAAAGTCTGCTGTTAGGGACCTCTCCAAAGTACTGAAGAGCAATGATGTCTCTCTGGAGACTAAGGTGCACCTGACATAGGCCATGGTCTTTGCAATCATTTGTTATGCATCAGAGAGTTGGACCATGACTAGGGAGGATAGAAGGAGAATTAATGCCTTTAAGCTGTGGTGCTGGAGAAGAGTATTGAGGGTACCATGGACTCCTAGGAAAACAGATTCATCCTGGAAAGGGTTAAACCAGGCGGCTCCCTGGAGGCAAGGATTCTGGGGCTTTGTCTAACATACTTTGGACATGTTGTAAGAAGGGACAGGTCCTTGGAGAGGGACATCATGCTTGGTAGGGTGGAGGGACAGCATAGGAGGGGAAGGCCCTCTATGAGATTGATTGATTCAGTGACTGGGGTAATCTGGATGCGTGTGTCAGAGGCAGCACGATTGGCACAGGACAGAGCAGAGTTTAGGGCTGTTGTACATAGGGTCGCTATGAGTCGCAAGTGACTCAACGGCACAAAAGAAAAACCACAACATACCAGCTTTACTAGCTGCATGAATGTTATTATAGAAGCAGTGCATGCTCTGCTGGAGAAGGAGGGGCAGTCACCTTCTCTACCAGTCAGATCCGATTTGACGGTTCACAAGAAGAAAGAAAGAAAAATAAAAAGCAGCAGTGCGTGCTTACTACTTGTTTTAGATATCCAGTGTTGCTATAGCAGAAGCATCAAAGTGGATGGCTTTAACAAAAACCTATTTTCTTACATTTAGGAGACTAGAGTAGGGAGCTCTGATGGCCTACCGGTAAGAAGTTGTGCTGCAATCCCAAAGGCACATGGTTCAAATCCACCAGCTCTTCCATGGAAAAAGGATGGGTAATCTCCTCCCATACGATTTACTGTCTCTGAAAACCCACTGGAGGGTCAGCTGTGAGTAGATTCTGGCTGGACAGTGCACAACAACAATAACAAAAGGGGAAGGCTTTCTCTCTGTCAGATCTGAAGAAACAGCCTTGTCTCTTCAACTTGTTTCCTTATGGCTTGGCATCCAACTTCCCCACCTCTGCTTGCATGAATGCCTGTTTAATCTTTTATATCTCAAAACATACCCTAAACAAACCATGCCGAATTAACATAACAAAGACAACCCAACCCAAATGGGATTATAGTCACAGGCATGTTGTTGCTTCATGCTGTTGAGTCAGAAATGACCGTAGCTGACCCTCTAGAGGGGACTGCAGCACAGTGTTTTACCACTTAGGGCACCAGAACGCGCTACATGTGGAGGCTAGGATTTACAACATATATTTTACGGGGGACACCATGCAATCCATAACACTACTTACTCAAACACTATGCCTCTTCTTCGCACAAAACAATCACAATCCACATCCACCTTTACCCCAGTGCTCAACATCATTGTGATTATTTACAAATAGTTCTCAGGTTACAAACAAACATGACCACTGCCAAGTCCTTCCAGCTGTTGTTGTGTGCCATCAATTAGACTCAGCACTGACCCTCCTCCACGTTTTCAGAGGCAATAAATCATAGAGAGAGGAGATAGCCTATCTTTCTGCCCTGGAGCAGCTGGAGGATTTGAACCGCTTATGTGACAGCAGTACAATTCCTTACCAGTAGCACCCCCTCCAGCACTGTTGAGTCAGAACTGACTCACAAATGATCCTCTGGTGGGTTTTCAGAGACAGTAAATCACAGAGGAGGAGACTGCCCATCTTTATCCTACAGAGCAGCTGGCACATTTGAACTGTGTGCCTTTGGGATGGCAGTGCCATTCCTTACCACTAGGCCACCATAGCTCCATAAGCTTATCACTAAGCCACACTTCCAGGATGTTGTGGTGTAACAGAGAGGTGGAACCGACCCATAACTGATCCTCCAGTGGGTTTTCAGAGGAATTCAATCGCTCACATGGGAAAAGATTGCCCATCCTTCTCCCACGGAACAGGTGGTGGCCTCAAACCCTGTGTCTTCAGGATTGCAGTTCAGCTTCTTGCCACTAGGCCACCAGAGCCATGGAAAAGGGGGCCCACAATGAATGAGAGCACTAGATGGTGGACTCATGGTGGGCACAGGGCTGGCACCCACAAATGATAGCTCCCATTCACTCTGATGAGGGGACCAGACCTTTCCAAAGCCCAGGGTGTCTCGTACCTGTTATACACCTTCAGCAGGATCAGAACCACAGCAAAGATGATCACCACCACCACCACCACGGCAGCAACAATGGCCCCGGAACCTGTGGAGAGGAAACAGGAAAGTGCACACTCAGACGCAGAGAAGCTACAAAGCTCTGGGAAGAGACACCCACTGCGTCACTGGACATCACCTAGTGGGCCAAGGGAGGATGAGCACGTGAGATGGGACCCTCACCTCTGACCCAGGACAGAGGGAGGTTTGGAGTAACAGCACCCCTGTACAGCCTGAGAAAAGTTTCAAATTTCTTTGTGCAACAGAAAGACAAAATATTCTCCTCTCTTTTTGATAATAGAAAAGCAATACGTGTTTTTATGGATAATTCTGAAAATATAAATACAAGAAAAAATGGGGGTAGGAAAAGAAAAATTTCACTGCTTCAAGAAACACTAGGTGCACACACATTCACCAATATGATCATATAATTGATCAGTTTTACTTCTGAAAATACACCTTAAAATATGTAGAAATGTGTAAAAATATGTATTTAACCCAGATGAGATGGATTGACATAGTAACTGGAGTAATGGGGACAGTGAGATTGGCTCAGGATAGAGCAGAGTTCAGAGCTATTGTACCTAGGGTTGCTATGAGTCGCAAGTGACTCGACAGCACATAATGACAACAAGAACATATTCATATTTATGAGAAGAGTCTGTTTAGAACAATATCATGATTATCTTTGCATATAATTAAATGCATTTCTTCATGATCTCTAATGGCTGCATAGCATTCATTGTTTAAATACATCATAATCCCTTTACCAATTTCCTATAGTTGTTCTTGTTACATGCCATGGATCAGAACTCATGGCTGGTCTTTCAGCAGGTTTTCAAAGGCTGTAAATTGCATAGGAGGAGACTGCCCATCTTTCTCTGAGGAACAGTTAGTTGGTGGAGTCAAATGACATGCCTTTGGGTTGGCAACACAACTTCTTAACACCAGAGCTACTTGTACTGTTTTCAACTTTTCACCTTTAGAAATGAGACTACAATGAATGTCTTTATATTGTCTCAGAGTCTATTATCAGTATCAGCTCCCAGTTTCAATGTGAAGCTCTCATTTTTGGTTCAAGATCAACATCCTTATCAGAGTACATATTGAAAATATTGGCAACCTTAACCATGTTCATTTTCAACCCGTATGCAGAACAGATTATCCAGGAGGCTAGGCTCTATAACCAAAGGAAGGCCTGGTACAATTTTTTTCCATAAAATCAGCCATTGAAGAAAACCAAAATGATCATATCCATCTTATTGGCAGTGAACATGCTGCATGTCCCCTCTGAGGTACCTTGAGACACACCTCAGCTGGCCTCTGTAAGTCTTCTCACCAAGCAAAGGAGCAAGAGAAGCCAAGGACTTGTCCTAAGAGCAACTCCTTCTGGGATTCCTTGGAGGAGATACGTTCTGCATGAATCTAGCCTTCTGACAGTCTCCTGACACAAGGTCTAGACACCCCTCAGTAAATAGTCCACAGACACTTTTCCCACCAACTGGTGCTGTCCAGGGTGTACTCCAATAACCTGTCAGAGATCTGCTCCATATGCAGAGTTAAGTATGTAACCAACCAAAATGGCTGAAACGGCTTCAAACTCTCCCTTATCCAATCAACTGACCCACCCAAGAAGCATCATCAAATTATTCCTTCTGGGGAATCCCTTTTCCTGGCAAATGTCTTCCCAGGACTGATTTGACCCACCTATATGTATCTCCTTTCTCTTATATTGATGAGATGCTTTTATCTTGCAAAAGATGTGTCAAAGCAGCCACATCTTAAGGTAATCCACATGAGGATAAAAAGATTCAAATGCCCACTGCTTTCTAAACTCTGTTTCCCTAGTAAAAATAGAATTCTCCTTGACACCAGGCCAAGGCATATGGAGATCCCTAAGAATGCACTTTCTGCCAGAACTGACAGGAGAGAAAGGTTTCCCCCAGAGCTGGCATCCTAGACTTCTAGCCTCTCAGACTGGAGAGACTAAGTTGCAGTTAGTCATTAGCTTGTATTATTTCTGTTACAGCAGCACTACATAATTAAGACAATTCTGATATTCTTCCTGCTTAGATGCTGACACTGACACCTGCCCTACCATCTCTCCCCTAGTCTCCAATTCAACTTGAACTTACTCTTATATAGGAAGTCTTCTCCCCTGGTGGTCATGTTCAATGAGTAGAAGGTGGTATCACCTAAAGGGGAGGCTGAGGTCATCTTGATCCTAATGAAGAGAAATAAAACGACTTAGTTTAAAGACAGAGTAAACCTTATAGTTCCTATATGATAAGTCTTTTATAATCTTTACTGGGTAATCTGGACAACATGTACGCATGTAGCTTTTTGTTGTTTGTTGCTGTTGCTATGTGCTGTCGAGTCACCTGTGTGACCTTATGCACTACACATCAGAACTCTGCCCTATTCTGAGCCAGCCTCACTGTCTCTGACACACTTGCCCCATTATCTCAGGTACTGTGTCAATCTATCTCATCTGGGATCTTCCTCTCCTGCACTGTCCGTCCACCTTTCCAAGCATGATGTCCTTCTCCAGGGACTGGTCCCTTCTGGCCACTTGCCCACACTATGTGCGATGGAGTTTCAAAATCCTAGCCTCCAAGGAGCATCTTGGTTTCACCCTATTAGGTGCCATCAAATCAACAACTCATAGTGATCCTATTTACAACAGATCTAAACTATGACTGGTCTTGCATCACCCTCTTTTCTGTGTTTAAGCCAGTTGCTACAGTCACTGTGCCAATCTATCTTGTTAAGAGTCTTCCTCTTCCTCTCTGACCCTCCCCTTTCCAAGCATCATGTCCTTTTCCAAGAATAGCCCCTCCTAACAACATGCACAAACCACATAAGACGAAAATCTCTCCATTTCTGCCTCTAAGGAGCATTCTGGCTACACTTCTTCCAAGATAGAATTCCTTGTGTTAGCAGCAAATAAATCTAAATTCCTTTACTAGATATTGTGAGGAATTAAAATGAAGCTCTACATTTGTGAAGAACTTCCATTCAAAGCAATTTTAATTTATTCAGCAATATTGATCAAACTCCTCCTCAATATATTTTAAACAATATTTGAATCCAGAAACCTTGTGGGGCAGGTTATTATTTCCATCCTAGTGAGGAAACTGAAGCCCAAATGCTTCATGGAGTCTTCAGTTTCCCTGTTGTTGTATACCATGGAGTTGGAACCCACAGCTGACCCTCCAGTGGGTGTTCAGAGGCAGTTAATTGCATAGGAGGAGACTGCCCATCCTTCTTCAGCTGAGCAGCTGGTGGATTTGAATCACACGCCTTCAGGATTGCAGTGCAGCTTCTTGCCACTAGGCCACTGGAGCTCCCTCGTGGAATTTAACGCCTAGGGTCTATCTTCTATCTCATGGGCCATCCACTACCCTGCAACAATGTGCGAAATGGTGTTGCTGCTTTCAAAGGTTTTATTATCCAAGGAAGCAAAAATTAACCAGAAGGTAAAGAATGAATATGATTGGTAAACAGGAGAGGAGAGAGAACAGTAAATACCCCCTTAATAGGAAATGAATTAATGCTAGTTGAGTGTCTGACATTTCCAAGTATCTTCACACACTACTGTTAATTGTCCCAAGGTCAATTCAGGGCAACTGACTGCAAGTGTTCCCAGTAGAACACTCCACAGAGTTTTCAACCCTCCAGAAGCCGACTGCCAGGCCTTACCTCTAAGGATTCTCTGAGTGGGTCTGAACCGCGGGTCTTTGGCTTTGTTGTTCAGCGCTTAACTATTTGCATCACCCAAAGACCTCTCGTTTATTCCTCTCAATCACAGAAAAGCATTTTCTACATTTTGCTGCTGAACAAGGTGAAGTTCAGGGTGTCAGAGTGGGCTGACCACTCAGACAGGAAATGGTGGAGCTAGACCTTAAACAGTAGACTCAGCACATGGTCTCTTCTTTCCTTGGTCCCACTTGTTGTTAGGTGCCATCAACTCCACTTTGGGTATAGTGACCCTATGAACAACAGATGTGAACCTCGTCCTATCCTGGGCCAGCCTCACAGTCTCAGATATGCTCGAGGCCATTGTTACATCGCGTCAATCCATTGTGTTGAGGGTCTTCCTCTTTCTCTGGCCCTCTACCTTTCCGAGTACAATGTCTTTTTCCAAAGACTGGCCCTTCTTGACAAAACTGGGAATCAAAATTTAAAAGCCTATAATTGTCCACTTGAAAAGTGAGGCAGGTGGTATGTAACTGATAGGGTGTTGAGACAATAGAAGATGAGCTGAAATTCTCCACCAACAATTATCTTCGAAGCACAATAATAATGCAAAAAGTTTTCCAGAATAAGAAGAGAAACAAAATCAAGTTTTGTTTCAGAGGATGTTCACTGGGTGTTCAGGTCCCTAAAGACATGCATAGAAAAAGTTGCCCAGGCTTGTCTGTGATCCTGGGAGGCCTCAACGCAGTCACTGTGTTAGGCAAAGAAGAGACACTATACACATTTCAGAAATAGCTGTACATATCTGTGTTTTCTTTTTGGAAGTAAAAAATATTACAAAATGAAAAACATCCCATGTATCTACCACTCATATTTAACAAATGTTCACAGTTACATTTCTTCTTTATTGTTGTTGTTAGGTGCCAAGTCGTAGACGACTCATAGTGACCTTGTGAACGAAAGGCCTGAGTTTCCTGAGGCAAGCCATTTTGGAAGTAGATGCCACTCCTGCTTCCAAGACTGTTTTAATCTGGGAGCTCCACCAAACACTGTCCACCACGGGTAACCATTATCACATTTGGCACATCAAGTGTCACAGTGTTTAGCATCACAGCAACCATGAGTTACCTCTGTACAGCAATGCTCAGACCAGTGCTATACCAATTAGAAGAATGTTTGACAGAGGAAGTCCCGCCTCTCTTCTGAGAGGAAGAAGCAACAGGGAGGGAATGGGAGCGATTCGAGACCATGAGCCTCCTCAACAAGCCCAAGAGTGAGATGACCCCGGAGGAGCTGCAGAAGGGAGAGGAGGAGGAGTTTAACACTGGCCTGCTCTCCGTGCTCACGCAGTCAGTCAAGAACAACATGCAAGTGCTCATCAACTGTCGTAACAACAAGAAGCTCCTGGGCTGTGTGAAGGCCTTCGACAGCCACTGCAACATGGTGCTGGAGAACGTGAAGGAGATGTGGACCGAGGTCCCCAAGAGTGGCAAGGGCAAGAAGAAGTCCAAACCTGTCAGCAAGGACCGCTACATCTCTAAGATGTTCCTGCGTGGGGACTCGGTCATCGTGGTCCTCAGGAACCCCCTCATCGCCAGCAAATAGAGCCACCCCCATCTCTACAGCCCTGTCCCACAGCCACCTCCTGCCACCCCTGGAAGACCTGTCCTGTGCTGGGAATAATAAAGTCCCTGTGTGGTTTTTTTCTACTGAAAAAAAAAAGTTTGACAGAAAAACAATTTGAGCCAGGCCTGAGGGCCGCAGATTAAAATTATCCACCTTGGGTTTGGTAGCATAACTTTCTTTCCAGTAGGCCAACATAGCTCTCTTTATGTTGTTGTTGTTATTGTTGTTAGGTGCCGTCGAGTCATTAGATACTATCTAATTTCAAATACTGTCAAAGTAAAATTTTACTGAAGGGAATGAAACAATGGTTGCAGCAGTACCTTGACAAGGAACTTCCAGAAACTGAAGGCCAGTTCAGAAGAGGATGTGGAATGAGGGATAGCATTGCTGAGGTCAGATGGATCTTGATAGGAAGCACTGTACATGAAGAAGATGTTTCTTGTGTTGTATCAAGTGTAAAAGCCTTTGACTGTCATAACAAATTATGAATAAAATTGTGAAGAATGGGAATTCCAGAACACTTAAGTATGCTCATGCAATAAGAAGCTGTTGTTAAAACAGAACAAGTGGGTTCTGGGTGGTTAAAAATGTATGGTAGAGTACGGTGGTAAAGCATGTGTCAGGGTTATATAATTTTTATCATATTTATTAATCCATTTGCTCAGCAAATAATCTGAGAAGTTATACTGCATAAAAACTGAAGCCTCAGGGCTGGGCGAGATTCATTAAAGATCCGTGATACACAAATGACACATCTCCCTTGCTAAAGGCAAGGATGATTTAAAGCACTTACCATGGAACATCAAAGCTCACAACCTTTTAAATATGGATTATACCTCAACAGTAAAGAAGCCAAAAATCCTTACAACTTGATAAATAAGCAACATCACAATAAACAAAGATTGACATTGTCAAGGAGTTAATTTTACTTGGATCCATAATCAAGGCCCTTGGAAGCATCAGCCAAATGCAAAACAAAAACACTCCAAGTTTAACTGGCAAAAAAAGAGAGAAAGACTTCAAAAGGTGTATTATTACATTGGGAAAATCTGTTGCAAAAGACCTCTCCTAAGTGTTAGAGTCCTTAAAGATCTTTTGGGACTAAGGTACATCTGAACCATACTATTTTCAATCACCTCATACATATGCATGCGAAAGCTTGACAATGAATAAGGAAGACTGAGGAAGATGTCTCTGAATTGTGTTGAAGAGTATTGAATACATCATGGACTATCAAGAGAACAATTTGTCTTGGAAGAATATTCCTTCGAAGTGAAGATAATGAGTCTTGAGTTCAGGTTCTAAAGTAAATGTGATCAGGAGGGACCAATTTCTAGATACTACACTTAGAAGAGAGTCAGTGAAAAAGAAGATCCTGATTTCAACAACAGGCTCTAATGGAATAATAGTTGCGAGGATGGTGCAGGATGAAGCAATGTTTCATTTTGTTCTGTGCTGGGTTGTTAAGAGTCAGAAGCAATTGGACAGCACCTAACAACAAGAACAGCATGCAAAGTAATAGTCCTTGCATTGCATTAAAACTAGACAAATGTTTATAGCTATATTTTCTTCTATTCTTTTTAATTAAAAATATACAAACATTTTAGGGAGCCTCTGGTGGCCTAGTGGCAAGAAGCTGTGCTGCAATCCCAAAGGTGTGCGGTTTGAATCCCTCAGAAGCTCAGCTGGAGAAGGAGGGAAAATCTCCTCCTGTGTCAGTCGGATCTGATTTGATGGTACACAACAAGGGGGTGGGGAAGAAATAAAAAAAAAAATAGTAACCCCCAAACATTTTATATAAACTTGAAGATTCTTTGTACCCTCTATCTCAGTCTTAATTCCAGGTAATCACTACCTTGATCTTATCATGTATATGTCTCATTAAAGACTTA